ATTCTCGGAAGCTGTCTGCCAACTCAACTTGAAGACATGTTCAAACTGGACACAAAGCATAGTTTATGCATTTGAAATTCATCTCTTGATGGACTGAATTCCCATTAAAAGCAGAAAAATGCATGATTACTGGTCACAGCTACGCATGATCGAAGCAACTTGCGTCTAAAGCTAATTCTACTCTCTATTCCCACATTTGACGCATCTCGCAAGGTAAAGAGGTTTACTGAACGTTAATGTCAGTTGACTGCTATGCTTCTAACTCTGAATGAAGAAAATTGTCTTCAATCCGAGGCCAACATGCAGCAATCAAGTCCAGAAAGAGAAAGGATTTCAATTCAAACCGTTCATACAGGGACCCAGAGCTTTAGACCCAGAGCACAATTTCTTAATCGGCTGCAATCCGCATCAAAAAGCAAACTTCCGGACAAGTTATTTCTGAAATTGAATCTGATGTTCATCCAAATTACTCTCAAATGTTTCTTTAAAGCAAATCTCTCAAATCTTAAATGCAATTAAAGGTCAACAGCCTTTTGTGAATACTCTAGCGAGTGAATAAAAAACAAGCTGCTGAGCAGATTCTAGTATCTCAAATGGTACACTCCCAAAAACTTAGCACATCCCGATGAACTAATGACTTCCTCATACTAATCCATTTAAGGCATTTCGACTCTATAAGAAGCCAGATCCACAACAAATTGAGGAAAGTTAATAATAAGTAATCAAAGTGAGACAACTACAGAACATAACAAGACATAGTCCTCAACTTCAAGCAATCTAGGGGATTTCAAAAAACAAAGACTGTCCCTGCCAATCCTTTCCACAGAACACAAACTATAAAGAGAACGAAGAAACAAAAATTAAAACAGAAAACCATTTTGATCTCATGGTTGATCTTTAAAACATTTCCTTTGCTAAAGCAGACATATATCTCACCACAATTTTTGCAGCTCCAGAGACAAGCTACAAGGAGCAATGTACAATCTGTTCCACAGCTATTATTGGATGTAGATAAAGAAGCAACACTTAGGCACCACGCTATAAAAATAGGGTTGCTTTACATACCATGGTCAGAAATACCTTTTGTCTTAATCTAACTAAGCCAATTATTAATCACAAGACGCAAATAAAAGAGTTTCAACAATATAGATAACCAGATGGATTTTGAATCTTCTTGAGCCTCACTTAAAAATATGCCACAAAAATAGACGTTTTATAATCAAGAAAAAATACATCCCTTACTTGCTAGAACAAAAGGTCAATAAACTTCAACAAAAAAACTCACAAAAAAATTCTAAAAAGAACACAGATTTATTTTATTATATCTATACCACAATTATCATATAAATGATCAATTTTGAGTTCCAATTTTCAGAGTCGAACAAGAAATTCAGCTACACACAAACAGGCAGAAAATCGCCAATTAATGTAACAAATTGCATCAAATTCGAACGATAAACATAAAATACAAGTATTTTACGGAAAATAGCGAACCTGACAATCAACAATTTTACCGAAAGGGCTAAAGGCATCTTCCAGCTGACGTTCAGTGATGTCCGATGATAACCCTCCTACAAATATTCGATAATCTCCCACCTTCCCTGACATCTTAATTCAACCAGTAATTCTCACGAAACCCTAAAATTGAGCAACTACCGAATTTCAACAGCCGAACCCTAGCCAGATTCTGAAAAGTACGTCGGAGATTCAGAGGAAAAAAAAGATGCGTCGAACGTTTTCTCCGTTAGAAACCCTCAACTGCTCTCCTTTTTGGAGTTCTTTTTACCTTTAAATATGTTGCACCAGTATGTCCCTCGTAGTTTTTAAGAAAATCAAATAAGACCCCTGCCTTTTAAATATATGATAAACTTAATATATAATATAGATGTCAACAGGCACCAGTGGTCTAGTGGTAGAATAGTACCCTGCCACGGTACAGACCCGGGTTCGATTCCCGGCTGGTGCATTTATTTTCCTTTTTTAATTTTAAATTAATAAAATCTAATCCTTTTGCATTTTAAATGATATTGTGGCTGCTGCATTTGTGGTCCCTTTTTATTTCAAATACTAGATGGTTTTTGCCCGTGCAACTGTAGAATATGAAAATACTATTTATGATTAATTTATTTGTATATGAAATTGCATAAAAGAAACAGAAAGTGACACACTATTTACATCCATGAGAATACTAAATATACATATAGTTATTTACATATCGACAAAAAGAGATATATTTTACTTAGAAAGTGGCATAACTTTTACATTCAAGAGAGTATTTATATTCACAAAAAGATGATTCTTTCTTTATCCTGTAATTATTCTTCTTCATTGTAGTGCAACAAAAGTACCGACATCTGCAAATTCACAGAAAAAGACCAAGTTTCAGTACCTATATAACATAATGAATTAAGTTTTAGGATAATATCAATGCAATTGATTTTTTCTAAAGCACTTCTTCATTGCGGCATGATGCCTCTCTACAAGATTAATATATGTAGGCCTTCTGTTACACTATTATTGATTAATCAATTGCATTGATACCTGATAGAATCTTTACCAAGAAAATCGAACTGAACGAAGCAAATTCAATTCTATGCATAATAATTAATTGCACGAGACTAAGAATCTGTAAACGACTTTCCTAGAGCTCTTCAAATTTAGCTTTGTTGGATAAAACCACAATACCCTCAAGTAACTATGGATGTTCTCCACTTTAAGATGATTATGCAAAAGAAATGAGAAGCGAATGCACAATCTACAACATTGTCATTAACGAAACAACAAATACAAATTTAGCATGACCACTAAAGCATTTGACCAAACAATCGAGTATGTTATCCTCATAACTCGTACAAAAGATGCTAGTGTTTGCATCACAATGAAGGAAGAAGTCAATATAGACTTAGGATAGAAATGAGCTAGGGAGATGGTTATGTCCTTTTATATGACAACTAAAAACCAAAGCAGGAAAAGAACAAACTCCTTTAATAAAAGGAGGATGAAACACACAAACACACACCAAAAAAAAAAGTAGCAAATTTAGAGAGACATCTATCTTACAGGCCTATTAATTAACCTCAATTGTAATGCGAATCACATCCTAATTCAACAGGTAGACAGTAGACAAATTCCATCTTCACGTATATCTCAAGCGCAAAACTTGTCTTGACATAGCTTAGCAACATTATCAAAGTTAAACAACTAAAAAACTCCATGCTTTGGCCCTAAACTTTATGTTGCATACAGTTTTATCGATCCTACATGCATTCAAATATTAAGATTTGATTTCATTGTTTGATATTTGAAAAAGGAAAAAGGTAAAATCATGTACGTACTAATACCTGATGATGATCTGCCCATTTTTCTAGCAAGAATAACCGGGTATTCATTCAGTTGTTTCAAAAGTTTATTCCCATAAAGATTAATGAAATCTTCCCAGAGTGTGAATTTTGTTGGTTTTTCCCGTAAAAAATGAATAGAAGATGTTCAAGTCTCAAACATGAAGACACAAAAATCGAAAAAGTAAAATACTTGCCATGTAAATAAAACCTCCCAAACATTTATGTTGTAAAAAATGAAAGAAGTCCGGTGCTTAGGGAAACAAAGAACGAAATATTTTACTTTGCAATCACAGAAATCAAGCATCCAAGTTACATAACATATACCTGAAGCTTAGGAGTTCAATATGAATCAGTGAACAATAATAAATATCTAGCTTAGCCAAAAAAGGATGTCCACACACAATGGACAATGACAGAGAGTCAAATGCACTTAACATTTCTGCAATGTTTGGGAAATTACAAAGGTTGGGAAGAATTGGTCTTTTGAATCGGTTAGCGTCCAAATCGAAAATCTTAAACTTATTTGCCGCTTTGCTGATTATTGAGAAAAGCTTTTGCAAACAAATTTAGCATTTAAAATTTAGAAGGAAGGAGAATATCTGTATTTTCAGATTTATCAATCATCGTTTCTTTCATTTTGAAGCAAGCTGTTACCCTAGGTTCCCGCCCAAACAGCTGGAAGCTTTTACCTCACCTTCATTTATGGAGGAATAATATCCAAAGTGAGCAAAAACATATTAGTTACCAACAAAATTCCATGGAGAAAGTAAATTCAGTTATAAGGACTCGTATACCATTTGACACGTTGAATAGCCAAGGAGTCTTTCAGAAGCTAATCAGAGTAGCAACATCATTTGGAAAAACACAAAACCTGTACATCTTGAATAATAATCTCCATTTTATTGTATTTAGCATTCAGCTTTACAAAAATACATTTAGAAGTGCTTGCAACAACATCATACATATACCACTCTCTAACATTTCCTCAAAATAAGGATACAACTTCTTTAAGTGACCCCGTTTTGCCTATCCCTTTGATTAACTTTGAATATGCAATGTATTAGGAAATAATTCATTTAGCTCAATTTTCTTGAGGATATTTCTGGCAGAATTAAATATGCAATCTATCCAATTTATAAGCTGGAACAATCCTCTTTTCAATTCACCAATTCGCGGCCTATAACATCTTTGCCAATCACTATCCAATAAAATTAATTGAACTGTAAAAAGATAGAAATATTTGGGTATATAGTATAGAGAGTTCTTAACGAACATAGTTAACCAATGGATATTATGTTCCTAAATTGAGGGGAGGGGGGTTAGAAGCAAGTTAGAGTTGGAAGCTTTTATTTGACGCACATGAAGTAGATTACAAAATTTAATACTACTGGCTTGTTATTCGACATGCTTGTTATTGAGTAAAACTTGTGTGAAAGCGATTGTTCTTATTGAGTTGTTTATTGCCTTTCCTTTATTTGGTTTCACCGAATTTAAACTGTGTTTAGCTTACTCTACGCCGTGGTACCTGTTTGCTTTCGTTGCTAATAGTTGTCTCTAGTTTCCTATAGTGAATTTGTTGTTTCTACAATGCTTAGCATCATGATGATATTATTCCCTGATAGCAAGCAGAATTCTTATCACATTCAGATCCACTTGAAATGACTAAAGAACAAGAATTTTATAAATTAAAATGTTGATCCCCCAAATAACATTCTTTACATAAGGCCTTAACCCAACCAACAGTAAGAGCGTCATTGGACTAACAAACTTCCCAGAAAAATTCCTTTGAAAGCTATTTTACCTAACAAAAATCAGAAACACATATTATCCCCCCAAGTATCTAACTCCAAACATACATGTGAAAAAGAAGTAAAAATATTGACATGCATGTTCAAAATCGACCAAAAATATTCAGAATAAGAGGAAGCTAACAGATATCCGCCAAAATCTCATAACCAAGGAATGAGTACAATAAAGAAAGAACGACAAAAAGAAAGAAACTAGAAAAATTCACTGCCATACAGGTATAGAAGAGGCGAAAAACAAAGAGCAAATGGAGAAATCTGGAAATCAAACCAAAACCAGTTGAACACAGAGCCGTAGTTAAGCATGGAACATGCTACAGTGGATTGCACATCTAGTTATCCGCTCATACAAGTTTAATTTCCAGAATCCTGCTTGTAAGATGTCAATTCAACAGCATTTAAGCCTTGAGGCAGAAAAGCAACTTCAGTAAACTCTCAAGGAAAAGAAAACTCAGATTCTAAGATTAAATAAAAAAGTTCTACCCTAAAATACCAAGAGAAAAGTGGTAAGCTACAGAGCCTAAAATCATGATATCCCTTTAACAAGTAGTTACTATCACTTTTTGCATTGAGTAAATGGAAAATCAGATCTGAAATTGGAACACCCAAAGTAGATTAAAAAAACTGATAAATTAGTTCTTGGGAAAAAAAGTAGGAGAAATTCATATATGAAATTGGAACATTTAAAGTAGATGAAAATAATTGATAAACTAATTCTTGGTAGAAGTTTTAATGAACAATAATGGCACCTACAAAAAAATTTCAGCATGAAATCGGAAAGGAGATGAGAAAAAATAATTCCATGCTAGTTGAGCAGATGAATCAAATTTACATAAGAGTAAAAGAGATGAAAGGGAGTGTGAGCAAAGGAGATGACAGTAACTTACAGAAGAGTAAAGGAGACAAAGTGGCTGAGCAAATGAGACGAAAGTGACGAAAAAGTCTAGGGTGTTGACTGTTGGGGTTTTGATGGATGCCATGAAAGTAATTTTTCTAGAATAGTGTAGATATGTACTCATTCACAGTTTATATTAATATTAATAGAAGAATAATATTTCTATGATATGTGAGAAGTTGGTGAGAGGGTATAATGACAAATATACCCTTGGTCGACCAACTTCTCATTTCTATATAATAGAAAAAATCTAACCCTTTTTGTTTATGTGATATTGTAACGGAACACGAAATTTAAGAATTGAATGAGTCAGATATATGGGAAGTGCCCACATGTATATACTAGCAACAATTAGATGACAATGATATGATTTTCATGTGTTTATTGTTCTTTCTCCCAATAAAAAGATTATAGCTTATATATCAAAAGTGAAATCTGATAAATTATACTCTTAGTAAGGGTAAAATGAGAAATGTTATCATTTGGGTCTTTCAATTATTTGTAAAACGTTAATTTTGATCCTTGCGATACATGATTAAACATAATTAATTTTCAATTAATAGAAGCGTGTATTTTGGTCCCATTATAAAGGAAATATAGTATATTTAGACTATTTTTAGAATTATATTACTCTCAAATACGGAATAATAGTGCAAACTCTGTGAAATGTATGTGTAATTAAAGGATTTAATGGTATGATTCGTGAAAAATTACAAGTGAATAAATCAAAAGTGCGTCAATTAATTAAAAATTAAACGTACTAAGATATCAGAAGGATTAACATTAAAATTCATCAACATTTGAGTTACTAAATGTGCAAATTCCTTTTAAGAATTATAATGTGAAAATGTCTCTCTATCATGGAAGGTGGAATTTCAAATACGGTAGTCGATATATCTATTTTCAATATAAATTAAACATCGCTTTTTCTATTTTTACAATAATATAGAAATTTACCTTACTCGTTGTATGACAATATTTTGAGTAATTTGTTAAATGTCACCCAACTTATGAGACTATCCTATGAAAGTAACTTTTATTTCTTTTAGGATAATAAAGTTATCGAACAATTGTCTTTTTATTCAAAAAATAAAAAAATACAAATTAACCCCATTAAAATCCTATTTTTTTAATAATAAAACCCATTTACCCATGACTCTTTTCCATCTAACCAACCCAATAAGAAAATGGATTTACTATTAAATAAGTAAAAATCGATCATAACTGCTATTTCATTATCTCTGTTGGAAGATGATATATTATAGTAATATAAAAAACTTCCCAAAGCAATACCAATTACTTTCTTTTTAAACTAAAATATTGTTATGAGCCAAATTAAATGGCATGTGAGCTATGTGTGAGTAGGGGACTATTTTGTAACTACCTATGTTCTTTCTATAAATAGGGAAGTTAGGGCTTGTAAATAATATTGTGATTTGATATTGAAATTGATTTCCTTCCCCCGTTCTCTCTGTTACGATCTTGCATCGACTCCGTCGGCGACGCCGGCCAGTCCACCGAAAAATCTGTTCAGGGACCATTCTTGCTCTTGGTTCCTTAGGATTTTCTATCTTCTTCATTATAATTGTAACAATGGTATCAGAACCATTCGATTATCGGACAGAAATGACTACGTAAGACGATATAGATGATACTGAGTACCAAGAGATCCATCAAGAAATCAATGGTTGAACTAGAGTGAAAGTATGATCAATTACTTAATGAGGTAAAACAGATGATGGTTTCCCTCTTTCCCAAAATTAAATTGCCGATATCCGAAGAAATTTTAGCCAAAAGCGCTGAATCTATTTTCGCAATTTCAAGTAGTGGACATGAAAGTAATGGTGACAATTTAAAGAAGAATAATATGGTTCTTGATCCTGTTGATTTTGGTAAAGACAATGAGGGGAAGACGGAGAACCTTGATCCAATTCTTGATGTAATGAATAACACTAAGGATACCTAGATAAATCATGGTTTTCTTGGTCCTTATTCTATTTATGGGAATACACTCATGGACTTAGATGCCAAACTGCAGGATTCATCACATGACTGGTATGTATTTGATAAAATTTTCAAGTCGGATTTGTTTGATAGTTATAAAAACAATTTGATTGTTGAAGGTTATGTGCATGACTTGGCCGAAGATATTGAGAATGAAATTGATGGGTTTGCCCATAAACATGTTTTACATCAGAAACTAAGAAATGAATTGAATAGGATTACAAAGAGTGAGTTGTTCGATCCTGTCGATGCCCCCTTTTTCTCGCGAAATCAGGTTTATGACATTTGGGCGGACAACTCTTTTCCTTTTGGGAATTGGGTTTGCAATTTAGAAGAGTCGCCACCTAATAATTAAGTGCATTAGGACACTAAAATGAATTTGATTTAGAAAACCAGAGATTGGGTAAGGGCTTGAGATTATCTCGAGGGGAAGGTGTTAGGCACCCCTCAAGATCCATTAGTGTGGTTCCCGGTCATGCTACAATTGTGACTTTAAATAAAAATAACAAGTAATCAAGCAAGCATTGTAAATACTAGGTAACTTTCACATAACGGTTGCAAATAAAAGAAGTACAAGAGGTTTAAAGAGTGCTGAAATTTGGAAGAAGGTAGTTTTATAATTAAAGGAAGATACACAAGTAAAGGAGAAGGGGTCAAATAACTGATGCAAGTAATTCAAAAAAAAAAAAAAAGTGAAAGAGGCGGAAGTTTGGGGAGAAACAGTATTGAAAATCAGACAATTAAAAGAGAGATTTTGCATAATAAGTGCAAGTGATTGAAGTAAAAGAAGAAGTTAAAGAAACTGAAAACTAAACAACTTTAAAATTCTGAAAAAAGGAAGTAAACAAGTAAAGAGGGAGGGGGGGGGGTCCTAGGTTTATAAATAACACGGATCACCCCACACAACACCCGGTAACCATTTATACACGTGGTGCTATCGCGTGGTTATCATATCCATGTCTACCCTTACCCACCCCGTTAAGGTATTAAATCGCGGAATGGTCTCGTTACTTATTGCATGCTATTATCCGTCCCAATCCTATCAGCCCCAGAGGTATTAGGGACTACTAGTCCTAAAGGGGAGGAAAATTGGCTTTTAGAGTTTAAAAATGACAAAAGTCTAAGGCGACATTCAAAACATACATGACAAGTATGGGGAAGCACATAACAAACAAGGCTCAAACAAACCTCCTTAAAACATAAAGAACAAATAGTTTTAGTATGTCTTTCAGATATTGATTAGGTCTTTAATTAAACTTAAACGTTAAGGCGTGGCTGATTTATCACATATTTTCAGATAAGAAGTCCAAATTAGGCCTGCCTGCTGGTTGTAATTATTAAAGACTGGTGTAGTTAATTAATTACCTAATGGCTTGCCTAGGTGAGACCTATGGGCATGATATCTAGCAATGCGAAGTATACTGATTTTAAAGAAAGCAAACATAAACTCTGCAGATGATGAGTATCGAAATTGTTGATTTTAGGCTTGACTCAGATTCAGTTGATTACCCTTATAGACATGCTTTCTAGGCGTGATTGATTTTAAAACGTTTATAGAAATGCGAGAAGCCTATAGTCATGGTATCTATATGAGTGCAGAACCTCAAAGGCATGGTATCTATATATGCATAAGTGCAAAACTATAAGCAGGATTTCTATATGAAATGCATAAGTGCAGAACTATAGACAGGATTTCTATATGACATGCATAAGTGAAGAACTATAGACATGATTTCTATATGATATGCATAGATGAAAAGCAGGATGAGATTGCAGGAATAAACACCTAAGAACATGATGTCTACCCACATGCATACATGAGTGACCCTCCCCTTTTCACTATATACCCCCATAAGTTATTATAGATTATTACAACCCAGAATGAATAAAGGAAAGTAAAATTACATCAGAAATTAAATTACAACCAAGGAGAGCCTAATTTAGACTCCAAGTCTGAAACATGAAATAAACCAACTCCGAAGATCTGCTTTCCAAAGCCTTTCTCATTTTGGGTGTGTCAGAGCTCCCAGGAGCTTCATGAACTCCGGGCGGTGCTTACACCCAAATAAGTTGCAGAATTGAATTAAAGTGCAGTGTGGAAGGGCCAACCCTCAGATGTCCAAGTTCAGAGGGAACTCAAGGTCCCAAAGCAAGGCTCATAGGAGGGGGGCAGAACTTAGAAACTAGGAATGAGTGTAAGTGCAATAGAGGGGATTCTAGGAAGGCCATGGTAGGCTGGTGGTCATACCCAGCAATTAGGAGTGCTGGCACACCCCTGACCAGCCTGTTAGCCACATTTGTTTGGGAGTTAGGATCCATTAAGGATCGGGCCCAAACATGAGCAGCAATTTGGATACTGCCATGCCTGAACCTTAACTCAAACACATAGAGGGAATAGGGGTATAGGGATTCACAGCAGAAAACAGGTGCAAAGAGAATAATATACAGATTAATCAATGAGCATGGACAGTAAAGTAAACAGGATTACAGAAGCTGTAAATAACACATTGGTGTGATGGCTGAAACTAAATTAGGACATACCAGTTTCAGAAATAAGCAGAGAAAAATTAGTAGTAAAGCCCAAATTGCAAGCAAACAGCCAGAAGAAACTCAGATGAGAATGTGAAAGTATTGAAATTGAGAGTGTGAGGTGAGTAGTGTAAGTTGAAGGTGTGTAAAAGTATTGAATTCGAAGTTGTCTTAAAGAGTTTTCAATCTTGTGTCCTTAAAAGTGCAGAAGGGTAGTCCCCTTTTATAGTGCAGAAGGCAAGTAAGAAAAGGTAAGAAAATAGTTTTACAATCAGTCACATAAAGTCTCCCTTTAGTTAAGGGATTCTGATTTCAAACGGGTAGAAGACAGTTAAGGAAAGAATTTGACTGAAATCTTTTCCAAAGTAACACAAAGAGGGTAAATACATAGGAGTTTATTTAAGGAAAAAGTCCAGTGGTATACGGTTTGTGAAAATAAGGAAAGGGAATCAATCAAACAGTCAGTAAAATCAAAATTGTAGGCTTTGTTCGAATGAACCAAGTCAGGAAAAGAGAGGAAAGGGTTTTACTTAAGGAAAATCAATAACAATCAATCAAACCTTACTAAAAGGAATTCGGA